TACATATAAAAAAGAATACTCTTTAGACTTAGTACATGATACTAAAGTTTTTCTAGCACTATTTCTGATATTCTAATTAAATTACGACGAAGACAAGACTGTTTGACAATAACGAATAAATTGACATGATCACAAACTTGGAAATATAAGAATAGTATAAGCCCGAGTGTAGATGTAGACGTGGTAGTGAATAGAAACAGTAAACATTCACACCCACACTATCATCCTCATCACTTCGAAGCAGAAATCTTAAGAAAATATTATCACTACAATATACATTCAGTTTCAAAACAAGGAATTTTATTAACGCTTTTTGTGAAAATTATAACATAAGCAAAACATCACCATATTCGTCAATAGAAAGTCACTCGTTATCCAAATACATTCAATATTACCATTCACGGTTTTGCTCCTCTTTGATTACGTTCAACAAACTGACTGATTTCAACCAGCGCACTCTGCCCGATCGTATTACTCCAGAGGCCAAGTTCGACGAGTGTCTAAATGAAAATTCGAGGTAAAGACATCGTGTAGATAAGCAGAGAATACAAGTTACTGTATTGTATCGTAACGCATCACTCAAACATTGTGCTCCAATATCTCCGATAAGATTCTTCCAGAGCATTAGCGTCGTGAGTGTCTAGATGACAATTTGGAGGTAAACAAATAATATAGATACAGAGAAATGAGAGTTACCGTGTTGTATAGCAATGCATCACCGAAAGATTGTGCTCCAATATCTCCGATTTGATTCCCTCCGAGATTTAGTGTGGTAAGTGACTAGATGAAAAAGTGGAAGTAAAGACATGGTATGTCTAAAGAGAGAGCGAGAGTTACTTTGTTGTGTTGTAATGCATCACCCAAAAATTGCGCTCCAACATTTCCGATGTTATTGTTCCAAAGATTTAGTGTGGTGAGTGTCTAGAGGAAAATATGGAGGTAAAGATATTATATAGATAAAGAGAAATGAGAGTTACCGTGTTGTGTCGTAATGCATCACCCAGAGATTGTGCTCCAATATCTCGAATTTTATTTTGTTTGAGGTGTAGTGTTGTTAGTGTCTATATGAAAAAATAGAAGTAAAGACATGGTATATATAAAGACGGAATAAGAGTTACTTTGTTGTACCGTAATGCATTAGCCAAAAAATCTGCTCCAACATCGCCAATTTGATTTTCTCCCAGATTTAGTGTGGAGAGTGACTAGATGAAAAAGTAGAAGTAAAAACATGTTATAGATGAAGAGAGAATAAGAGTTACTTTGTTTTGTTGTAATGCATCACCCAGAAATTGTGCTCCAATATCTCCGATTTCATTGCTCCAGAGATAGAGTGTGGTGAGTGTCTAGATGAAAATGTGGAGGTGAATACATTATATAGATAAAGTGAGACTGTGAGTTACCGTGTTGTGTCGTAATGCATCACCCAAAGATTGGGCTCCAATATCTTGGATTTCATTACTTCCGAGATTTAATGTGGTCAGTGACTAGATGAGAATGTGGAGGTAAAAGCATGGTATAGATAAACAGAGAATGATTATTACTGTGTTGTATTGTAATGCGTCACTCAAACATTGTGCACCAACATCTTGGATTTGATTACCTCCGAGATTTAGTGTGGAGAGCGACTAAATGAAAAAGTGGAAGTAAAAACATGGTATAGATGAAGAGAGAATAAGAGTTACTTTGTTGTGGTGTAATGTATCACCCATAAATTGTGCTCCAACATCTCCGATGTCATTGTTCCAGAGGTCGAGTGTAGCAAGTGTCTAAATGGAAAAGTGATGGTAAACATATCGTATTGATAGAGAGAGAATAAGAATGACTGTGTTGTGTTGTAATGCATCACGCAAAGATTGTGCTCCAATGTATCCGATTTGATTATCTCCAAGATTTAATGTGATGAGTGACTAGTTAAAAAAGTGGAAGTAAAAACATAGTATGAATCAAGAGAGAATGATAATTACTGTATTGTTTTGTAATGCATCACCCAACGATTGTGTTCCAATATATCCGATTTTATTATATCCGATATTTAGTGTAATGAGTGACTAGATGAAAAAGTGAAGGTAAAAACATAGTGTAGATAAGTAGAGAATAAGAGTTACTTTGTTGTGTTGTAATGCATCAGCCAAATAATTTGCTCCAATATCTCCGATTGTATTCTCCCAGAGAATCAGCTCGGTGAGTGACTAGATAAAAGGCGGAAGTAAATACATGGTACAGATAAAAAGACAATGAGAGTTACTGTGTTGTGTTTTAATTCATAAGCCAAAGATTGTGTTTCAGCCTGTCTGATTCGATTGTTTGTGAAGTCCAGTGTAGTAAGTGCCTAAATGAAGAATCGTAGGTAAACATACGGTAGAGATGAAGAGATACAATAGTTCATTGGTGTTATATAGTGTTATATCAGTGAACTGAATACTGTTCTGACTCCATGCTAGTACCTATGTATACCAATATGAATGTTTCTAAGATTTTAGATCCTGCATTGTGTATGATAATGTTTTGTGAGAATCTTGACTGTACAGAAGTAAGAAGGGTGACGTATGAATTGAAACTTTTTATTTGTGAATTATTTTAATTCCTAAATGTTAGTGAAATAAGTAAGAGTTTTTTGTTAATGAAGAGTAGTTGGTAGAATACTTTTGTGTAAAACGATTGTGCAGCGTAGTAGTATGTGCTCAAATGGCAGTGTATTGTGGTAAATAGTTTAGAGTAGAATAAGGTATGGTGCGGCGCTTTCGATTTTTTTCTAGATATGACGCAAGATAGTTTCTTGCCAGTAGTTAGTAAAAGGTTTTCTTTCATGTTTGTTTTTCAGACTCGATATGTGTTTTGTATTAAGGGTATGTGCAAATTATCCAGAAGAAATATTCCATTTTTATAGGATGGGTACTAGTGATATAAATGGATGAGAATGTAGATGTTTTTGTGAGCCACTCTTCTCTTCATTCTCATTCACCATCACCTGTATCTACAATCGTGTGTGCTCATGAAGGTGTATTGATCGGAAGTACTTCTCATAAAAATATAGAGGATGTTATTTATGATAAGATAAAGTAGTTTATTGTAAGTTAATTTCTTTCAAAAGCTGATTTTTATTATCGAAATAGTGTTTAAAAAAAAGTGCTTATATATGCGTACAAAGAAAATAATGTTTTGTTGCTTTTTTTCTCGTTCTTATTTAAATATCGTATGCTTATGACATCATACGTAATTTGCAGCGTGGAACGTGTAAATGAAATTGAAGAGAAAAGAGAAGAAAAAAAGAAATTATTTTTTCTCACTTTTAGAACACTATTTTTATAAGATAAAAAATGAATTTTTGAGGAGAGAGAAAGATAGTCGATGAATTATTTTGAGTGATAAATATAGTTTATTTATGTATGTTCTATTGGAATCAATAGATAAAAATTAGAGGTTGATGATAGAAAAACGTTTACCTGATATCTATGATAACTGTCCACAATCTTGTTGAATCGTTGACACACGTGTCTCATGGAGCATATGATTGTGAGATCTGATTGGTGATCCAGAATTCTGTAGACAAGTTCTACCGGTAAAGTGAGAAACTTGGTGAAAGTTTGATTTGCCATTGTAAATTGTTGATGAAATGCGTGTTGTATAGACTTATATGTTGGTTATATATATGCTGTTCTCTTTCTTATCGTTAAGTGAGTGGATATTTGTTTTGTTTCATAGATTTCACATGATGTTGTAGTTACCTGTTGAAAGAAAAAAAAAAGAAAAAACAGCGATATTAAATATAGAATGAGAAAATCGAGATACCAACTGTAAGCAACATTTTTGTTAAGATTGTTTTATCTATATAAAATGGTACATAATATAGATGAATATTATGTTCTCGAAAGAATAACAGTACTACCAATAGTAACGTCGTCTGGTATCAGTCGATATCAGTATCGATAAAATTGATACTGCAGATGTAGAAAACAATGGTTTTTTATACAATATAATCCATACCTTGCGAATTTAAGGAATTTTAGTCTAGTGATAAATTTTCAACATTTTTGATTTTATTATTTTAGTCAGACGATGCATATCCGTGTAACTTAAGAAACAAAGTGCAATTCAATCGAAGAAATCAGTTATTTTGTTCACCGATTATAGGCCAATGAAGCAAATATCTTCTTCATAAACTGAGAGACTATTCGAGATTAATTCATTCCTTATCAATATAATCGAAATAAACTAGCAGTTTGAAACCGGCTTATATCAGTTGGATAGCATCCTATGGTTTTTGTGGATGCTTTATATTTACTATGTAATGGAAGTCTTTTTTAATATTTAAATTAAATATATTCACACAGAAACAGTAGTTATTTTGTACCACTCACATCTCGCTCACGAGATGAGCTCATGTACAAAATTTGATGTGTACGTCGACAAAGTAAAGAAGAATAGAAGAAATATTGGGCTTCACTTTGCATCAACAAAGCTGTTTTTTATTAAAATATTATTTCGATCCTAAATTATCTTTCAGTTACAATCGATAAATGACAAAACCATTGAGTTTAATACTCAAATATTTCGAAGAAAATACTTTATTAATGTATATAGAAGAAATGAAAAATGATAATATTATAGACTTATAGATGACATTATATTAATTTTCTAAGGATTACTACAAATGGTAAGAGCAGTACATGTTCGCTCAAACTGTTGATCAAGATGATCTTATCTATTGAATTAGTGTTACTTGTATTTAGATAATATATCAATTTGATTCGATTCTAAGATCATTTTGTAGTTGAGTGAAACTCGAATACCATCTAGTTTCTATAAACAACAACCCAAAACAGAATCATATCTTCGAGATCTAACAATATTCACCGAACAATTATGCTAGTAAAATTGTAAAAATTTGTATTGACACTTTCTAAACAGCATAAAACGTAATATATTACTGAATATTTATTTTAGAATAGACTGAAATTACAACATTAATCTTCTTCTTTTTTTTGTATTTTTTCAAATATTTATGATGATGACATAAAAAGATCTTCATTTGAACCGGCAACAGTTATAGCCAGTGATGGATACTCTTGATGTATTCTTGATATACTTGTTGATTGATAACGATTATTAAAATTATTTTGATGCTGTTCAACACTTCTTGTATATGAATTACTATGACTTTCAGAAAACGTAATTGATTGTTTATTAGAACGAAAACGAATTGTTCGACGTCTGAAACCATTATCTACATATACATAACTGTGTCGATCTAATTCAGATGAATGTCTACGACGAGCCAAACGGTGAAATAATAAATACAGTACCTTCCTATAAAGAAAGAGAAATTATTAATCCTAGCATTCATAAAGTAAATATTTACCTAAATTGTTGAAATACTATAATATAAACAAAAAATTTACAGGATAAACTTATTTCATAGAGAAGCATCGGTAACTTTTTTGCAACTTGCATAATTATCATATAGAGTGGTTCTTTCTTATATTCATAAAATATTTCAAGACCAGTAATAATCGCTATGAACACAAAAAATAGTCAAATATATTTCTTAGTTTAATTTCAAATACATACCAGTTGGTATATCAAAAAATGTTGGAAATAAAATCGATATGAATATAGTTATTTTAGTTGATTGATTACATTTTAATGTACAATGAGCAGTAGAATGATTTGAATTATGTTTTTGAGTTGATATTTTTATTTGATAGATGATTATTAAACTTATTGTTAATGTAAAACATATAGGAAATATAGTCCACATCATTAAATTAATATATCTTAGAAGTGCAAATGATGAATCTTGACCATTATTACATGCTACAATAGCAAATACACTAAATTGATCAATACCTTTCACATCGAATAGACGATATAGACTTAAACATATGACAATTAACATTAAGATAAGTATAGATATTTTTGCTTGTCTTTTTGAATTTGATAAATGACGTTTTGATGGACTTAATATATGTATTAATCGATCAATTGCTAATAAAACAAGTATCCATGCTGGAAATATTAAAAAAAATTCGGTTAATACATCATTGAAAAGACAAATTTTATTCATATGACGAAAATAACTATCAAATGTATCATATTGCCGTAATAATGGTAAAGTAAAATTAAGATGTAAATTAATTGTATCACATATTGATAGGACAAGTAAATAAATATTTTGTGAACTACGCTTATACATTTTAGCAAAACAATATGTAGAAAGACAATTAAGTATTGTACCAATTATAATAGGTATTATAGCTACTCTATAAAATAATGGGCTTATATAATCATTAACCTTTATAATAATTCTAGCAATTTTTATAATTTCAAGTACATCTATAACATTGCTTGAATTACGAACATCGAATTCAGGTAAGAATGGTTCCGAGGATGAATGACCATTTATTAAATCAGGATCAACCATTTTTGATTTTTTTAAAATTAATATCTAAATAAAAATAGACTGAATATTACTGCATTTATATAAGTACCTATTCTAGACATAGACAACGTGATTTTTTATTACGACGGAAAAATACTAATATTTAACGAAGCTTATAGGGTGATGTCTGATGATGAAGTCATACATTTGAAATGACGTCTTTTCTTGCGAATGAACTATAGTTTGCGTCAATAACTAACTGTGTCCTCTCTAATAATAATAAAACGCTCACGATACTTTAATTATCTATACAAATTAGTTAAAAGAAAAGTTCATCAATAAATGACGTGTCCTATAATATATATTTTCTCTTTCATGCAACCATGAAAATATACAATTCTTTATTTTAATGTTAGCCATATATTTTTAATATAAATTAACTGCTGAAAGTCATTTCCTAGGGAAGTCTTCCAGACAAAAACAGTATTAAAATTTTTTATAAATACTTCTGACATATTAATTTATGTTCTTCCTGAGGAACGAATTAACTGACGATGTAGGAACAAAAAGTATTTGATTGTCATGTGCATTACGGAGAATAAATAATTTTATTTTTAATATTAAAAATAATATGTCAAGAAAATCAAGATGACGCTGCAGGATTTTATCAAGATAATACTCTATTTAGGTTCAAAGTCTTCTTCTTAAAACAGACGTAAGCTAAATGATATTTTCTATTCTAGTAACTAATTAAGCAAAAAAAAAGTACGGAATAGTCTAATATGAATACAAAAATCTTCTTTCTTTTTCTATAGCTTCATTTACATGATGTTTTGAATATCTAATTACAATATCTGAATCTCTATAGAAAATAAAATTTGCTAAACTCATTTTTTTATATAGATATACCACATATATGACTTAGAAATAATCTATGCCTGCAAAGAATTTTATGAATAAAAAATGTAGATAGATTAAAAGAATGTCTGATAAGGTGAATCTGCGTCTTTCTCATATCCTTTTTTAGACAATATTTTCATGATAATTATCAAGAACGTTCTTACTTGTACTTCTCTTTATTATGACTGATGAATAGACTTGATATTTCTATAGCTTTCAAGCAACTCCCAGGCAAATGCTGAAAAGAAATCTTTATTAATAATTTATAGAAATAAATTGATTTAATGCTATTTAGTATACGTCTGTCTTCAAGCGTGATAAATATATATATCCATTAAACACTATGGCAACATAATGGTTTTCTTATAATTAGATATAATTGTAAGACATTGTTGATGATACATAATAAGTCAAATCTTATTTTTACATACGAATAAAATATAATGTAAATAGTAAGTTGAACTCTGATCTTTAATCTGAGATTGACATTCTATAACTATTTTTATCATCGTCAACGGCGAATAAGAGTAGTCTGTCATTAACAAGTTTTCTATTCATTAAATGATGAAAAACGCAATCAACATCAAGACGACCTCTTGTCACAAGATTAATCTCTTTTATTCGATGATGTTTGTATAGAATAATTGACAAACTAATTTATTTATTCGATAAACAAAGATTTATGTCTTATATATAATAATGATATCAATTGGAATGAATCCACTCTCTTTTTATTATGCTAAAATAAATAAAATTTTATGGATCATTGCTGATCCTAATTCAAAAAATATGATGCCTGATTAACTTAAAAACAAATATCACTCCTTTGCAAACTATTGTAAACCAGCTTCTTTTAAAGAATTATTTGTTGGATCCCATGTACAAGACCATGGTGTATTACCAAGTGCATTCTATATATATATAAAATATAAAGAGATTAATATTATTTTAATCGATAATTGTTATTTACCAATGTTTTCATATCTTCTTCTGGAATTGACCAATCGAAAACATCAGCATTCGATTGAAGTCTTGATGCTTGAGATGTTTTAGGAATTGTTATAAATCCATGTTGAACAGACCAACGAATCAATACTTGTGCTGGAGTTTTCGATAATTTTTTTGCAATTTCACCAACAGTTTTATCTTGAACTTTATGACCTTTAGCCAATGGTGAATAACCCATAACAGTAATATCATGTTCACGGCAATATTTAACAATATCATTCTTTTGTTGCCATGGATGAAGTTCAATTTGATTAACGGACGGTTTATCAAGACCTAATTTAGCAAGAGCTTCCAAATGGCTCACACCAAAATTTGAAACACCTAAAGATCTAATTTTTCCTTGTTTCTTTGCATCGAGTAATGCACGATATGCTTCAGCACAATGACCACCTTGTGGTGCATGAAGAAGATATAAATCAACATAATTCGATTGAAGACCTTTCAAACAGTGATCAAGAGCTTTTAAAGCACCTTTTGCTCCTTCTGCGGATGGAAACCATTTTGATACAATAAAAATATCTTCACGTTTTTTACCACTTTGTTTTAATCCACTACCAACACCTTCTTCATTATGATAAAATTCAGCTGTATCAATTAATTTATAGCCAGTATCAATTGCTGCAGCAACTAAATCTGCACAATTGTTCTCAACTTGATATACTCCAAGACCAAATAATGGCATAACCACACCATCATTAAGTTTAACTGTTGAATGAATAGCTGAAGCGATTAATCGTGAAGTCATCTAGAAAAAAATCATATACAAGTTGAACATTGATCGGTATGTTGATAACACTTTCTCTTCTACTGAGATTGTTCATATTCTAATAGGCGAGAACAACATAAATTGTTGCACGAGCTGTTACCTATCTAACGATATCATTAATCAATTTTGTACAATTCATTATCATTCATATATAAGAGAGAAAGAAGAATATATATAAATGAACGATTCGAAGAAGTGAGAACCACAATAAGTGACATTGCACAAAAATGAATCCACAAGATAGTTGTTATTTTAATCCAAATGACAATTATTGTTCTCATAAAACATCAAATAAACCTCAAGAATCTTATGTAGCTCTTATTGCTCGTGCTTTATTATCTTCACCGAATTATCAAATGTTACTTGTTGATATTTATCAATGGATTATAAATGAATATCCTTATTTTGGAACATTACAAAGTAAAGCATGGCGAAATTCAATTCGACATAATTTATCATTAAATGAATGTTTTATTCGACAAGAAAAATCTGAAAATGGTCGTGGTTATTATTGGGGAATACATCCAGCAGCATTTGATGCTTTTATTCATGGTGATTTTCGCCGACGACAAGCTCGTCTTCGATCTAAACATGCAGATAATTCATCTATTCAACCGATATCATGGATGATAAATACAGATATATTATGTGATTATTCAATAAATCAAACACAAACATATAATTATTCATATTCATAATTTTTTGTTTGATTAATAAAAAATAAAACAAACATACGGATTTACATGGAAAACCATTCTCATTATTAAAATTTAGATGATACATACATATATATATAAACTGAAAACCATAAACAAAAACAAAAAATTAGAAATAGTGACTAAAGATGTTCATTCATTGCGTTACATTCGTGAAAATTTTTACTGATATGGATTAGGTGGTTGATAGATGTAGGGTGGTGGTGCACCGCCATAACCTGCTTGTGGTGGTGGTGGTTGATAAGGCCCTTGATTATGTTGTGGATAACCTGGTTGTTGATTTGGAGGTGGATAGCCTGCGTATTGATTCGGAGGTGGATAGCCTTGATGTTGATTTGGTGGTGGATAGTAAGGTTGAGCACCTCCTGGATAATATTGCGGTTGTTGTTGAGGAGGTGGACCATAACCTTGTGGTCCATAAACGCCTGCTGTCGGTACATTTGCACCTGGTTGTTGATAATAACTGAATAGAATTTAAAAAAAATGAATAGATATTGTTATCAATTATATAATAAAAGGACATACACTGCCGTAGGAACTTGATTATTATTGGAATTTGAACTCATCATATCTTTCTATAGAACAAAACAAAATTATTCAATAAAAAAAGGAGAAAAAATAGTTACACAGCATTTACCTAAAACAAAAAAATAGAGAGAAGTTTGTTTTCTTTAATAAACTATTTTTAGAATATCAAATACATACAGCAACAGATGGCAGCTAATGGAACACAAAGACAGCAAAGAAGATCATCACATCCATCATCTAGGCACATAATTTTAATCTTTAATAGAAGAAAAAAAACGAATTTTTAATTTAATTAAAGAAATGATTCAAATAAACTTGTCAAAAAATAGATTAAGTTATTGTAAACACTTTTATTACGGATGCGTCGTCAATCATTGCACTTTAATATGAATGGTTTATATTATTATCTATTAATTTATAATTACGATAGATATCGTTACACGTCAATGTTTAGTTTTCTATTATTTCATTTAAAAAACATCTGGTTATATTCTCAAACTTCTATTTTCATCAAAAATTTTTCTAACACATTCTTTTCTCCTACCGCAAAATTATGTCTTTCATTGATTTGAAATTATTCAAATGAAAATTCAAATTCATCGGTAGAAATTTTTAGTTTTTGTTGAAAATGAACAATATATATTCATTATAGTTTTCAAGTGTTTGTATTTATATGTTTATTCTTATCGATTTTGATTTTTCTCTTTTTTACTCGTTGGGTACGAACTTTTTTTTCACACTGAATTCTCAACTATGACTTATCTTTAGCGATATCTCGATTATGATCCTCATGATATTGTTTATATAACTGAAATTCGTCAACCACTTGATCGATCTATATTAGATAATTGTAAGTCTTTTTCAATTGACTGTTCTTTTTCTTCAAAATATAATTTATTTTAATAGATATTAAAGATAAAGATGAGAATTATTTTGCTAGTAGAAACTTAAGTGTACCTATTCTTATTTGGTGGACACCATTTACATATGATACAGGTTCATATATTCGATGCGGTGATCAGACACGATGTTTTATATCAAATATACGAAAATATCGTGATAATAAAGATTTTTCGGCATTTCTTTTCTACGGTACTGATTTCCATTTATATGATTTACCATTACCACGTTATCAACATGAACAATGGGCTTTACTTCATGAAGAATCACCAAAAAATAATTACGCCTTTTCATTTGAATCTATTATGAATATGTTTAATCATACAGCAACATTTAAACGTCATTCCGATGTACCATTAACAACACAATGGTTAGCATCAATTGATGATTTATTAGATCAAACATATGTCATCGATATTAAAGAAAAAACAAATTTACAAACTATTGAAAATCTAGCACCAATTATATATATACAATCGGATTGTTTTACACCATCAGATCGAGATTTATATATTAAAGAATTAATGAAATATATTCCAATTGATTCCTATGGAAGTTGTTTACATAATAAAGATTTACCGGAAAAGTACAAAATTCTATTAATCTATATTGTTAGAATTCTATGATTTATTGTAGTTTAAGAATTCCAGTTGAAACAATGGAACATGATGACATATTAAAACTTGTTGGTAAATATAAATTTGCATTAGCTTTTGAAAATGCTGTATGTACGGATTATATAACGGAAAAATTTTGGCGACCATTAAGAGTTGGAACAATACCAATTGTTTATGGATCAGATCAATTTCAAGTTTGATATATACATATACCCTTTTCTATAATTTATCTATTCATATAGGATTTTCTTCCTGATAATCATTCAGCAATATCTATTCTTGATTTTCCTACACCTGCTGATTTAGCTCGTTATATTCATGAATTAAATACAAACGATAAATTATATGATTCTTATCGTCAATTTAAATTAACCCGTACAATTTCCAATGATACTCTTCTTGCTCAAACAATGTCTAAACGTACATGGGGTATACATAATGATCATATTCGTGGTAATTTTATCAGTAAACTTGAATGTCATGTATGCCAACGTGTACATAAAACACGACAAGATCCAACATTAAAATATCAGGCGAAGTTCGATGATTATGGATGTCCATCTCCGACAACATTTGATAGTCAAGGTGTAAAATTAGAACGTTCAGGAGATTGGTATCGTCAATATGAATTTAGTCGTTGTCAAGTGAACGTATTTCAGGAATTGATAGAACAAGGAAATTATAGTTTTACAGAAAAAGAATTATATGATGCAGCAGCAAAACGATTTTCACCATCATTTCGTCGAGATGAATTTTTAAAATAAATAATCTTTGTTTTATTCTAATTTTAAAAAATAAAATGATCACTTCATTGCTATCTAACGCCATCTCTATTAATATTAAAATATGCAGCACGGTTGTACCAATAATAAAATAGAGAACGCAAGAAGATTATAACATCCGTATTTTCTTCTTCTCTCAGTAGATGTAGGCGTATATAAAAGCACTAAAAGTAATGTATGACGAAACATTCTTACAAATCGAGATTTAATTGCACGATATTTTTCCTTTACCCATATATATACTTGTAGATTTACATCAAACACCTTCAATTTGACCTAACTATTCATTGAAATGTGTTCAACAGCTAAACAAAATAGTGGGCTTTGGAAATGTCCTGAAGTAACATCCGATGCACAACTTCGTCTTTACAATAGTTTTACTAAGAAAAAAGTATTCGAAATTGAATATTATATCTTTTCGAAACTATTTTTTATTATTATTTAGGAACTATTTGTACCAATTAATGGTAATGAAGTACGATGGTATACTTGTGGACCAACAGTTTATGATACATCTCATATGGGTCATGCACGGTAGAATAATTCGATCTTTATGTTTTTTGTCTAAACTTTAAATTTTCTAGAACTTATATTTCATTCGATATAGTTCGTCGTGTTATATCTGATTATTTTGGTTATGATGTTCTCTATTGTATGAATGTAACGGATATTGATGATAAAATTATTAAACGAGCTCGTGAAAGATATTTACTTAAAAAATATATGGAAGATAGTTCAATTCCAATTAATAAAGTAGTTGAAGATTGTCAACAAGCACTTACACATGTCAAAGAAATACGATCGCGTGAAAATGATAAAGATAAACAAACGATGTATGATAAACAAATTTCATCTGTAGAAAATGCTCTTCAAAATCTTCATCTTTCATCCGATGATGAAATGAAACGAAAGAAATTATTTGATGATTGTCGTGATAATCTTGCAACTTATTTGGATTTTAATCATTCTCATACAACAAATCCACTTGAAAATGAAGTTTTTCTTGATTTAGCTCGTCATTATGAATCAGAATTTCATTCCGATATGTCAAGTTTAAATATTTTACCTGCACATGTCTTAACACGTGTTAGTGAATATGTACCGGAAATAGTAAAATTTATTGAAAAAATTATTTCAAATGGTTACGCATATGAATCAAATTCATCCGTTTATTTTGATACAATTAAATTTCATAAACAACATTCATATGCCAAATTAGAACCTGATCGTATGGGTGATATTGCTGCATTAAGCGAAGGTGAAGGTGCATTGACAACATCAGAAAATACAACTAAAGAAAAGAAAAATGATTGTGATTTTGTTTTATGGAAGAAAAGTAAAACAGGTGAACCAGTATGGCAATCACCATGGGGACTTGGACGACCAGGATGGCATATTGAATGTAGTGTTATGGCTAGTGCTGTATTAGGTAAGAATTATTTTTTTATTTAATCAAGAGATTCGATTGATAAAAGATATTAAGATAACGAATGTATTTTGTTTATACTCAAAAGTAAAAACATAATTATAAAAAACCTTGATTACTATCTATGTTCTGTTTTTTGTTATGAATCGATTGCAATCTTGTTTACTTAGGACCACAATTTGATATCCATACAGGTGGTATTGATCTTAAATTTCCTCATCATGATAATGAAATAGCTCAATCTGAAGCCTATTTTGATAGTGATTCATGGGTTAATTATTTCTTACATAGTGGTCATTTAACAATTGCTGGATGTAAAATGTCGAAATCATTAAAAAATTTTGTAACAATTCAACAAGCTCTTGAAAAATATTCATCGCGACAAATTCGTCTATTATTTTTATTGCATTCATGGTCATCAACATTAGATTATAGTGATCATGGAATGGAAAAAGCTTTAACTTATGAAAAAATGTTAACTGAATTTTTTCTTAATATTAAAACACATTTACGTTCATTAAAACAATTAAATCATTCGAGTGCTTATACAAAATTTGAAGAACATGATCTGACATTAAATGAACGTTTTTCAACAATTAAAAAACAAATTCATATTGCTTTATGTGATTCAATTGATACTCCAACAGTTATGGAAAATATTCGTCAATTAATATCAGCAGCAAATATTTATATGAATTCAACAAATATAACAATTAACCGTCTTCTTTTAAGAAATATAGCTGCTTATATAACACGATTAATTAATATTTTTGGTTTGAATTCAACATCATCTACGGATGATATTGGTTTTACTCGATCTGGTGAACAACAAGCATCAGCAGTCAATGTTGAAGATATTGCAATGCCATATGTTGAACAATTTGCTAAATTTCGTGATGCTGTACGTACAGAAGCAATTACAATTAAGAATAAAGAAATTCTCACATTATGTGATCATGTACGAAATGAAATTTTACCTGAATTAGGTGTTCGATTAGAAGATCGTGGTATGAATTAAATCTTTTTTTTTTATTTAATTAATTTAATTTGTTGTTATTGTTCTTTTTTTCTTCATATATCAAAGCTGGAAGTGCAGCAACAATTAAATTTTGTGATCCTGAAGTGTTGAAACGTGAACGTGAACAAGCTTTACTAGTTGAAAAAAGTAAACAAGAAGAAAAAGAACGAAGAAAATTAGAACAACAAGCAGCAAAAGATGAAAAAGAACGAAAAAAATTAGAACAACAGAAAGCAAAAGATGAAAAAGAAGCAAAGAAAACAGCAGCCAAAGAAAAAAAGGTAAAATATAGAGAGAGAGATTTCATTTTGATCATATGAAATTTATTGTTCTAATTACTATCTCAGAACCCTGATACAAAAGAGCCATCACAATCAGCTACTAATGATGCAGTTACCGGTGCCACAGCTAATGGTGATTCTTAATATGAATACTGGATTTTAAGATTTTAGGATATTTTAATCTTCTTGTTATTTTCTTTATTTTTCTTTTGTTTTGATATGA